CTTTCTCACAGATGGAGAGTCATGGGTGAGCTATGTATCGTAGTAGCCACAATAAAACTTAGGCATGTTGCTCGACCGACCATTTGCTACCTGGAATTATTTTTATAGTGAAGGAAATTATTGCTTTTACACTAAGGGAAAAGTACTGCAAGATTGGAAGGGAGGCAAAAACAGAAGCCGACAGAAATATGGAAGGGTATTAGCATAATTTAAGAGTCAGAAGAGTTCAAGTACAGAACAAAATTAATTGACAGATTCATGAGACATTCTACAAAGCTTATCAACTCCCTACCACTGAGTCAATTCTGTTTCATGGTGACCCAATAGGACAGGGTAGGACTGTCCCTGTGGGTTTCCAAGAATGTAAATCTTTATGGGAGTAGAAACTTTCATCCCATGGAGTAGCTGGTGGTTTCGAACTGCTGACCTCATGGTTAGCATTCTATCGCGTAATTTGCTATGCCACCAGAACTGTCACTATGCTTCCTTATCTGACTTAGTTTCCCTTCTAGTTATTCTCCATTGCCTTGCTAAGAATCCAAAGAAAATATGTTTATGTTCTCTTAGCTTTCTAGGTAGTTCTAAACTTGAGCTCTAAAATCAAATCAGGTTGATCTGGATTCAAATCTTGGCTCCGTTGAATCTAAATATCCTTATTGTGAAAGAAGGCTGATAATACAAACTTTCTCCTACTGTTGTGAGAATTATGAAATAGCAATGAAGTACTTAGTATAGTGACTAGTATGATTGTTGTATTTGGGAACCTTAAGTAGGTAGTTATTATCTTTATATAGGGAACCCAGCAAAGTCCCTTAGCATTCTGAGCCTTCTCTCTAGGACGCAGTAGGCACCCAGGAAGCATCTGTGTATCTCCAGGTGATGTTTTTGTTTTGTATGATAGGGCAAAACTTTCAATAACACTCATCCATACAAGAACCATGCCTACCACTAATACATGTCATAAGAAAGCCAGAAGGGCATCACAATAGTAAATATATGGTAGTCTTGGGTCACCATTCATTGGGCATGCTCAAGGCAAGAGATCCAAACCTAAAGCCAACAACTGCCAATCTCATAAGCTTGGGATAACAGTCATCTGCTTTACACACTAGAGCATTTCAGTCTTAAGACCAAGAGAGTATGTCAGTTCCTTCTATCTGCTACAGGTTCACTTTGCGGTACAGCCCATTCACTAAGGTTATCTTCACTGAACTCATTTATCCATATCTTTTTTTTTCCTGGCAGCTCTAACAACACTGAAAAAGAAATTCACCCAATCCTGTTCTGCTTTTATCTCCAAGAAATTTAAGTTACACAGTGGCGCAAGAAATGACAACTGCTGTTAATACTTTGGAGAGCACATCAACCTTCCCCAAAGATTTCCACCACCATTATTTAATGAAGCCCCACAAACAACCTTGAGGTCCCGGGTGTGCAATTTGGAACAAGACAGCATATGACTAAGAGAGAAAGCTCTACTTTCCAGAGGAGGAAGTTAAGATAGAGGGCAAATGACTCATCCAAGGTCACATGGTAAGTCAGAGAAAGAATTCTGATTGAAAACACGTTCTCCTGGACCCTGAGGAATTTTCTTTCTGGGTTATCAATCATACCATCAACCATATTACTGCTCCCTCACAGCAAAGCTCTCTACAAAAAGGCAAATTTACCAGACACTGCCATAGTGTCGCTGATCCACGCAATGGAAAAGATCCAGTCCTTGTGTCCATCCTTGGAGAGGGAGAGAGTGGTGGGTAAAGAGAAAAAAATAAGTTAGTGAAATATAGATTAAAAGTCTGACTGAAAAATCTCTAAAAATTACAACTCTGGTGATTTCAACCCATATGGCACAGCCACATAATTTGTAGCTTGTCTTTTTTTAATCATCTTATTGGGGGCTCTTATAGCAATCCATACATCAACTGTATCAAGCACATTTGTGCATATGTTGTCATCAGTTCCAAAGCATTTCCTTTCTACTTGAGCCCTTGATACCAGCTCTTATTTTTACCCTCCCTTGTTATTTTCCTATTTCTACACTGTCTGCTGTCTCTTTTCACCCACGTTTCTGCTGTTCGCCCCCCCACCCACCCCCCCCGTTGTTTAATATGTTTATCATTGGGATCAGTTCCCACTTTCTCCCCCCACCCTCATGGTATCGCTACTCCCATTACTGTTCCTGAGGGATTTATCTATCCTAGATTCCGGTGTCAAGGGCTCTTATTTATTCCAATGTACATGCCCCGATCTAGCCGGATTTGTAAGGTAGAATTGGGTCATGATAGTTGGGAGGTGGGGGGGAAACGACCATTAAAGAACTAGAAGAATGTTGTGTATTTTGTCAGTGTTATACTGCACCCTGGTTGATTCCTGACTCGTTCTTTCCTTGTGACCCTTCTTTGAGGGGATGTTCAATTGTCTACAGATGGGCCCTGGGTCTTCACTCCAACTCTCCTCATTTGCATCGATATGGTTGGTTGTTTGGCTCTTCCGATGCTGATACCTAATCTTGTTGACAGCTCGTGGTCACACAGGCTGGTGTGCTTTTTCCATGTGGGCTTTGTTACTTCTCTGCTAGATGGCTTCTTTAACTTCAAGCCTTTAAGAGCCCAGATGCTATATCTTTTAATAGCCAGGCACTATCAGCTGTCTTCACCACATTTGCTTATGCACCCATTTTGTCTTCAGCAATTATGTCTGGAAGGTGAGCATCCCCAGATATTAGAACAAAGAGTTCTTGCATTGAGGGGGGGGCTTGAGTAGAGGCCCAAGGTCCATCTGCTACCTAAATACCTAACATATAAATATATGTACATAGACCGATATCCCTAATGTTATATATTAATATATTTACATGCCTACATTTATTCCTCTATGAATATCTTTTGCCTCCTAATTCCTCCATTTCCTTTTATGTTCCTCCTGTCCCGATTTCATGTTCAACCTTCATTCAGCTCTCAGTAATTCCTCTCAACTACATTGTACTTGCTCAAACCCCACCAGGCAGGCATTCCATGGCCTCCTTGTCATTGATTTCAGAGCTCTTGTTCCCATGTCCCTGAATGTGTTGGCTCCCCCCTCCCTTTCTCCCACCTCCTCGAGGAAGTCTAAAAGTTGGAATAAAATTGACACCCCTGAGCATGCCCAGTGAACACACAGCTCCGTAACGTCTCTAGTACTGGTGGGTGTCTGATTTGGAGGTCTAGACACAATCACCTAACCACCCTCTAGCCCACTCCCCACCCTGGGCCCCTGGCCCTGTGGCTATCACCAGCTCCTCTGCTGTTCACTAGTCCCTCTATGTCTCCGCCAGAATGTCATTTTAGTAACGCAGCCTCTCCCAATTCTCTTCCGAAATAGTACCAGAGCATTCTTCACCAATACTCCCTCCCTATCCCCTTAAGCTGCTTTACTTCTGTCCAAGGCAGTTACCACTCTCTGGACACCTACCGACCCACTGCCACTGGCTCCTTTATCACATAGACTCTCTCAACATGCCTGGTACTCCAGATAGGGAAACTTGTTTCTAGTCTGATATTTGTACCCCTACACCTTACCACATGCTCCTGGAGTCTGAAGAAATCTAAAGGATACGACCCCTTTCCAGGAGAGCCTGTGAATAGAGGGTCCATGCTACACAGGCCCTGATCATAAGACCAAGGCCCCCTCTGTAAATTACTGGGAAAACTTACATCTCCCACGCACACAGGATCTAGTGTTGGCAGCCGGTAGATGGCAAGACTGTTGGGGTTGTCTCCTCCCGTGGCTAACAGGGTTCTGGAGGGATTCAGTTCGATGGCATGAATACCACAGCCCTGCTGGGTCACCCCTCCAGGCTCACGGTCTTTCAGAATGGGAATCTTGGTAATCTGGCTTGTCTGTACATCGACGACAAATAGCTACAAGATAAAAGGGATAAAGAAGTGGAACCATTTCTACTGAATGTGACTCACACTGTAACAAACACCATTCACTCAACTACCCATCACACACTGTCTACTACATGCGAGACCCTAAAATTAGTAAAGGCACAGTTAAGATTACTAGTCAAATGAAACATGAAAATTAGTAAATACAGCATAATTTTTAGAGGTTAAGAATAATGTGTTAAATAAACAAATGAGAAAGCAACAAACTCCGGATGGTCACAGATGGTTTCACATGTCTTGCATTAGGTCAAATACCAAAAAATAGTTTCCATCCCCTAGGACGTGTTTTATACGTTTAAACCTCATCTGCTCATTCATGGGTGTTGTGTGCCATCAAACCATTGTGATACCAGTAAATGGATCTGCCACTTGGAAAAATCTGAGTTTCTTCTATGGAGTTTGAGAGCTGGCTAAAACGTTAAGACTTCTTTTAATCTAGCCTTAAGACATGGCTCCATTTCCACCAACCAGATAAGTCAGGGTGGAAAAGGCTTTATTTATTCATGTCCAAGAGAGCCTTATGTTCAACCTTTCCAGCTTTAGGGCTGAACAGATAAAGAGTTGCATGCCACAATAGTAACTTTAGTTGTGGTATCTTAGGCAAGTCATTTAAATCTTCCTGACTCATTTCTCATCTGTAAAACTTGCTTAACATGATCAACTTAACAGGGGTCCTATTACTTGGAAGAAGTTACAGCCAGAGTGCTCCTTAGAGGCCTGGATGTCAAGACTTTGTTTCATGTACTTAAGACATGATGTCAGGAGAGACCAGTCATCATGCTTAGCAAATTAAAAGGTCAAAAAATAGAGATGGATCGACATAGCTATAACACCAAGTTCAAACATAAGAACAACTGGGAGCCCCACCCCCAGCCAGTCCTGAGGCTTTGGGGCTCTGCTCAAGGGGGTCCCTCTGGGACATGGGAGCACAGTGAATGGTGTGACTCTTTGCTGGGCATGCCTGCACAGTAGGGTATGCTGGGCCCCTCTAGGGTTTCCCGTATGGGCTCCAAAAAATCTCTTCCCTTTTGCTTAAAAGAAGAAAAAAAAAGAACTAGGAGGGTGGCGTGGGACCATGTCTTGTGGTGGTGTACTGACTTAAGGGTACCGAACACCACCACCACCACAATAGGGTTGCTAAGAGATCTACCAGTGTTTGCAAAGTACCTAGCACATAGCTTGGAATAGACTAGGTGCTTAACAAATACTACTACTACTACTAATTATTATTATTGAATATGTCTAGTTTTGCACGGTGTAGAAAAGGTTATGCACTGGATGGTAAAACCACTAGATATTAGGGGTCTGTAGAGGAACCAAGAGTTTACCCCCAACTTCCCTCTCATCCTTGCAGAGGAATCACAAACCACCACGTAAAGGACAGAATCGGTTTGCTCTGTCTTGGAAACAAGGATGTGGATGAGCTACCAAAGAACCTCTGTGCAAGCCCTCTGACAAGGGGCCAAGGAGGCCTGCAGCTCCTCTAAGGCAGTGGTTCTCCACCTTCCTAATGCTGCAGCCCTTTCGTACGGTTCCTCATGTTGTGGTGACCCCCAACCACAAAAAACTATTCTCGTTGCTACTTCATAACCGTCATTTTGCTACTGTTATGAATCAGATGACCCCTGTGAAAGGGTCGTTTGACCCCCAGGTTGAGAACCACTGTTCTAACATGTCCCAGAGCAAGGCTGCTCCTCATCAACACAATGGGATCCCGGCCAGTAACCAGGAGCATGGCAAGGGAAGCTGGAAGTGATCTGGCTCCCGCAAGTCAAAACCCAAGAACTAAGGGGGAAAAGGGGTGGCTAGTAAGACTAACACGAGTGAGCACATCTCTACATACATACGTGCTTGCATAGAAAGATGCATGCAATTATATATATATATATATATAAAGACCAGCGCAGTTTTAAAAAGGGGGAAGCCTCACAAACGTTTCTAAAACTCAAGGGTCTTTACACTGGAGCCTAATGGAGGGAAAACCCACGTCCAAGGCAGGTAAGATACTTAACGACTGCAGTCAACAGCAAAAGGCCAGTTCAACAGGCATGAACGTTGGAAAGTAGGAGGCAAGTGCAGTCACAGAGGAATCCCTTCCCTGTCTCACACTGAGGAAGAGAGAAGAGTAAAGGAGCCAGGCCAAAGAGAAACAACAAAATATGGGCAATCTAAATCAAAAATGAAAAATGTGTATATCCTAAATCAACGGCGATAGGTCAATAGAACTAATCACAGTGCAGTATGTTTACATTAGTCACACCCAGGGGGTTGAAAAGCTATACAATGGACCATGTAAAAATAGAGACCACAGTCTCATAGGGCAACTCCATCAACTGGCCCAACATAGTTCACAACATCAAGATCTGGATCTTAGTTAAGAGAGTAGCATCTGGGTTCTTCAAATCTCCTGAGCGGCCAGGCATCTAAGAAAGACACTTCTATGGGTCTCTACTTCCAAACAGTCAACGATGATTTAAAAGTAGGGCTTTGAATGCGTACATTCCAGTTAGACCCTCTGATGAGAAAAGAATGTGCCTTTCCAACCCAGATCATCTGAATCAGGGTGTCTGGATCCACAAGAGCCCCAGGTGATGCTTTCAGACAACAAGTGATTCTTGGGTGTACTTCACTCAAAAAGAGAGACAAAATGATAACCAGACAGGGAAACTAGAGTGCTGGAAACAAACAATATAATTAAATGTGGTACTGATATATTGTGATAAATATAACGAATGTGACAGAAAAGTTGATGTAGAAACTGTCAAATGGGGAACTTAACTTGATATGTAAACTTGTGTTAAGTGAATAAGCTTTTTAAAGACAAGAATAACATGACCCTAGGGGCCAGTCTACCTCTAAACCCTGTTTGCCTGCCCACCTGCATCCTGCTGTACAGGATGAGCTCCCCAAGCCAGACTCCGGAACTGGCAACATTTTGGACTTTGAGAAGTAGGCGATTTGGTTCACTCAACAAACTCGAAAAGTTTGCTGTCTGTGTGTCTCCAATTACCAAACAACACAACACAGTCGAGAAAATCCGTAACACAGAAAAGGTGACTACCACTATCACGAGATACCGAGCGAACAATGGGGTGTGTCTTCTTTCAAGTCCCCCAGTCACACACTGGTCTTACGTCTATGAAAATGTGACCCCATACACAGTAGTTTATTTTTCATAAACATTAACACCTTTCCCAAGAATAAATATATTGCTACATAATCTTTGATGGCAGCTCACTGCATGGACATGCTAGTATTTATTCAATGTACTCCCTACTAGAGAATATTTATGTTGTTGCCAGTTTTTTGTTTTAAGTATAAAACACTGCGGGGATCATCATGTACCTCAAATTCAGGTACCTGTATTATGTCAAGATCTCTTGCACTTTGAACTCTGAATCCAAAATGCCTCTCCTGAAGACAGGCTGGCTGAGACCAGACATATTAAGTTCTGAATTCTAATTTTTCCCCACTAGAAACAAGACACTGCAGAAAAGGGGCTTATGATCATAATTTATGATCGTCCTAGACTTAAGTGACATTAATTCTTTACAGGCTTCACAGCTAGCAAAATCCAGTAAATTGATTTCTAATCCCTGGCTCTGGAGGTCCTTGTTAAAAACTGAGTTAAATGTTGGGAATCAGCTTTGGTACTATGCCTAAGCTTTCACCAAGTGATGCCAACCAACCTGAAAAACAAAAAGCTAAGTAAAAGGACTGGCCTACTAGCCTGAACTCATACAAATCCTAATTTCTTCCTACAGAAGATAGAAACTGACTTCTATAGTAACCAAGGATAGCAGATGCCTCCCTCTTTCCAACATTCATATAGACAACACTGAATGTAGACATTATCCAGAAAAGAACAATTTCTACAGGACAGTCTCAACTCTTTATTCCTTCATGGTATTTCCAAGCGGAAGTCTCCTCATAATTAATAGGAAGCCTTACATATCAACTATTTATCTGGTATATTAAGAGACCATAAACTTTCAATGTCATTCAAACACTAATAAAATCCCTTTTCTCTTATTTTTTCAGTATCCCCCAAACATGTTTGCACACTAAGTTAGAACTGCTCTTATTTTGAGCTCCAAAACACTTCCTGTGCGAATGGGGTGGAGTAAGGACTCCTTTAGCTGCACACCCAACACTGTTATTGATCCCTACAATGCTCCTTCCCCCCCCAAAGATGTGTGTTCAGTTTTTTGACCAGCCAAGAGAAGTCATAAATGTTAACTGGATAAGGCCACTTTCACCATTGTTTTAACAAGAAAAAGCAAGACTCGTCTGGCTGAACTAACACTTAAAAAAAAAAGGTATTCATTACATAAACAATGTCAACAATAAAATAAATTTTAGAATGCAAGAGAGAACACTCATCAGAATTATCTCATTTCAAATCTATTTTTCGTTTGTTGGGTCCCTCAACCATATGCATATGCAATTATACATAGCTATAATCAGCAGAGATTAAGAGTTCTGTATTTTAATTTATCAATGGTGTTACACATTACAAGCTTCATAATCATATTACTGTCTA